GCAATAAATCTCCTCTCCAGAAAGATTTTGGAATAAATCTAATAATTGTATGGAAACCAGAAAGGGACTAGAGAGAAGCAACTGGTTGCTAAAACAGCTTACAGCTGTTGACTCTCTTCTATTGTTGTAACCACAACAGTATACCTCTTCCCTTCTGTAATCCTTCCTCTCACATACAGTACTGCAGACGGCAGAAAATGAATTTGGCTAATGAGGATGAAAAAAATGCTTCTTAATGTTTACTTTTTCATCCTGGAGAGAAATTCAAGTTTGGGTAGACAGCTGCAATGAAATGGAAGCCATCATGATGCCTTGCTGCTTTGACGCAATCAAAGAGGACAGCTGCTACTGAAAGAGCCATCAGTCTTTTTGTTCAGAGCCAGAACACATTATCTTTAGATAAATGGTCAAGTGCCCTCTGATTTCTGGCATTTCTACATAGAAGTTGCATAGACTAACTGAAAGCCCAGAATTCATTGCCATAGGCTGAATGCCTTTACTGCAATATTACACAGAGTCATGGGGTTGGCTGCTTTGATCCATTAGTAAACAAATACGGACATGTATTTATTTTCAATCATTCAGTCATAGACTATTTTTATACTTCCATCTGGGAATTAAATTTTTAATCATGCAGAAGTGTGGTAAAAATAACAAGGGGAAAAGGGAACATTCTGTGATGGGGTTTTCCAGTGCCTGGAAAAGAGATTATGGAGATTTTTTTCAGCATTGTCAATGTTCCCTCCAAAGGAGAAGAATGATACAATTAAATAAAGCATTTTTCATTATGCAAGTCATAGCTTTAAGCCAGCAGGTGTCACAAGCTTGCTCGTATTCCCTGTAAGATGGTTTTCTGATGAAACAGACTTTCTCCATCATTTGCAGTTAGTCTCCAGATACTAAGGTTGTGTCACTAACTAATTCATAGCATGCCCTATGCCATTGCTCTTGAGATTTTAATGGATTCAGAATAATTTTTAAAGTATTATAAGACAGGGGGATTACAGAGGTGCTTAGGAAAGACCAGCTGCAAATGTCTGAATGGGTGTGGGGAGGTCTCACAGTAGTAAGGAAAAAGCAGATCATCTGTAATCCAATAGAAATATATGACTGGGAAACAAAATTGTGCCTTATTCATTCAAGACAAAATCATATTGCATAAAGACTATGGAATCAATCCATTTCTAAGGATAGAAGCTCTTCCTCTGCCTAACACTTTTGTGAAAAATCATATCACTACACAACAAGTTAACACAAATCTTCATAGTGAAAACAAGGTGTGGTATCGTATCAAGTGTGGCCACTTAAATGATGTCAATGCAGGCTGGAAAACTGGAGAAGTGGGTGACAGTCCAGTAATGTTCATACAAGTGCTAATGCACATGGCTGCAGGCAGCCTGGAGAGCACCTCCTGGAGGTAAGCCGGGTGGGGATTGAGGCCCCCATAGGGAGGGAGGGGGTGAGTTGGACAGGGCTGGGGCTACGGATGTTGCCCAGGCAGGAGGTGCATGGGGCTTGGGAACTGGGGCTGCAATGTATGGCTGAAGGGCCATGGCAGGGAGTTGGGACAGGACTGTGGGTGGCTAGTTGAGAGGGTAAGGGTGGAGCTGGTTCCCTGCTGCTGCATGCAAACTCGTAGGGGCAGGAGGAACCCGTGCCCCCCCCGACCTGTGTGTGGGGCGGGGGTGGGGGCAGGCTGCCTGCTGCAGGTTCCGGCTCCCACCCTCCTGCCATCCCCTGGGGCCTTCACAGCCCAGTATCTGCGACCTAGCATTGCAGGGAACAGCAGAGCCACATGGGGATCTCCTTGCCACTGTGAGCTCCATGCTGCCCTCACAATGGGTCCACTGTGCACAGGGGCAGTGTGGGGATTGGTGTGGGGTTGTGTCATTCACTGCAGCCCTATGCGTAGAGGACACATCACCAGGGCAGGGGGGACCCATGCCCCACAGATGTGGGTGCAAGCTGCCCACTGTGGGCTTGGGCTCCCATCCTGCTGCCCTGGCGATGGGCCCTCCATGCACAGAGGCAGTGGGGGAAGTGGTGCAGGGTTGTGCCACTCCACAGGCAAAGGACACATCGCCAGGGCAGTGAGGAACTCACAGTGGCAAGCAGCTTGCCCCCGACCGCCGCCCCCATGCACAGATCCAGGGGGCACGTGTCCCTCCTGCCCCCGAGAGTGTGCACAGCAGCAGGGAGCTGGCCCCACCCCTGCTGGAGCCCACAGGAGGCAGGGAGGAGGTATTGGGGTGGGGAAGAAGGAGAGAGCCAGGGTCCATGGTCTGCTCCACTGCAGCAGCTGTGGCCTCCTGCCAGGGCCAGGAGCCTGTGGACCTGAGGGGCACCAGCAGGGCTGTGCGGGCTGTGTGGCGTCTTTTATTTTAATCACAGAGTTTGGGGTTTTTATCAGAGAATTTGCAATTTTTATCAGGGAAAACCGGGATCCCTGCTTCTAAGCCACTTTGAGTCCAGAGGTTTACACAGTTTTCCAATGATGTCTGGAGACAGAGTGTAGGTCTGAGAGCAGTACTATAACTGGTGGGAGTGACCTGGGCACTAAACCTGGGTGGTGACTGGGAAGTGGTGGGGGCAAAGGAACAGAAACGGCTGCACAGCCAATGCTATCCCTCTTGTGCATCACTGCCACCCAGGGCACTCAGGCAGCACATTACGCCTTTGGTTATGGAAAGATGAACAGATAAGGCAGAGTGTTGCTAAGGTAACTCCAAAAGTCCTATAATTGAACTGTAAGTCTAAGAATTATTTTTCAAACAATCTCAAAGAGTGAATTGCTAGCTAAAAAGATCTTCCTTTATAACATTATAAAAACTGCATTACTTTCTCATCTACTTTTGCATATTTGTAATGTTTCCATTTAGAAGACATTTTATATATTGGCATGAGAAAACATGAGGAAACAGATTAGTTTCTATTTCCACAACACTAACAGCACGTGAGACACTTCATACGCAAGACGTGGCTCAGAAAACTTCACAGTCTAAATCAGTAGTGCATAAGCTATTAAATATAAACATGAGACAGAAGGTTAGGCAGGGTGGTACGTTAGAGACTAATACATTCAGAGAGGCATGAGGAAGGACCAGAAGGACAGTAAGGACAGTAAGGACCAGAACTGCCACCTCCCTGCTGGGCCCCCTTTGGGCCCCGGGGGAGGCTCACCTGGGCCTAGAGTGAGTGAGGATTTAGTTAGGGAGCTTCTGGAGGGGCTGGATGTTTTTAAGTCAGCCGGCCCGGATGATCTTCACCCTAGAATCCTAAAGGAACTGGCTGGGGTCATTGCAAGTCCCCTGGCA